CCCCGCGCCCCGTCCCGACACCTGCGCCGGCCGCGCCTCCCAGAAGCACCCCAAGGCCACCCGCTGGCTCTTGGCTCCTTCCTCTCCGTTCACACCCGTCACTCTCGCTTTAACCCGTTTTTACGTTTCAGTCTAACTCCTTGTGCACACCGCAAACATTGGAAAGCTGTTTGTTAACACCGCCACTCCGCCCTCCAGAGACCCACTGACACGCGTGAACTTGACGTTCAGCTGCGTTGCGCAGAGGTGTACAACGTTGCCGCGCTTGTTTCCGTTTCCACAGCGGCCCCACACGGATTCCTCCCCCTGTTTAAAGGAGCCTTGGTACATTAGTTACAAAGAGACTTAAAGAAAAGTGTGGAAAACCGAAACATTTAGCAGTTGAAGAGTAAGCCCGGGCCGTGCGGGAGCCACTTTTCCAGCTTCCATGCTGGGATTTCTCTACTTCACCAACTATTTTTTATTCCTCCGAGTCCTGCCCTGCCCTCAGCGTAGCTAAAGGATCCCCAGGGAAGACACCTGCCCGGTGCGACCCCGCCCGTTGGACTGCCCCGAGAACCTGAAGTTGGCGGTCATTAGCGCTGGATTGTTAAGGGCAGTTTTCTGGAGAGACGCTCCATGCCCCGCTGGCTGCTGACAGCCCCACAGTGGCCCTGACCTCTGCCCCCCCTCAACTTGATCTTCTGTTCCTTGAGATAACCCCCACCCAAACTTCCTCATGCGTTTCCCCTTTGCTTAAGCTGGCAGGGTTAGTGTCCCGTGGCTGCAACCAGAGGAGCCCTGATGCTGTGCCAGTACGTGAAAAAAGCAGGACACAGTCTGCTCTCAATGAGCTCTCGCTGGATAATTTACCACCCCAACGCTTCAGGGTTCAAAACAAATAAGTTTCTTATCTCTCATGATTCTGCGGGTGTAGAGTCACTGACACGGCGCATTCGGCTAGAAGGAGAGCTGGGCTGGAAGGTTCCAGATTGCCTGCTGTCAGCCACTGGGGTCTCCTCCCTGTGGCCTGACCCTCCAGCCCGGTGTCTTCACGGCCCGGTCTTCTGAGAGGGTAATAAGAGAAGCTGGGGGGCCTCTGAAGGTCATAGAGACCTCTTCTGCTCCCTTCTTTTTTTAAATATGTTTTTGTTGATTTCAGAGAGAGGAAGGGAGAGGGAGAGAGAGAGAGAGAGACGTCAATGATGAGAGTCATCGGTCNAAGCTGGGGGGCCTCTGAAGGTCATAGAGACCTCTTCTGCTCCCTTCTTTTTTTAAATATGTTTTTGTTGATTTCAGAGAGAGGAAGGGAGAGGGAGAGAGAGAGAGAGAGACGTCAATGATGAGAGAGTCATCGGTGGGCCGCCTCCTGCTCGCCCCCTGCTGGGGATCGGGCACGAAACCCAGGCAAGTGCCTTGACCAGGAATCGAACCGGCAACCCTGTTGGTGCCTGGGATGCCCAACCAACTGGGCCACACCGGCCGGGGCTGGATGGTTCTTCCCATGCCTGATCCCGCCCACAGGGTGCTCCCACCAGCAGCCGTCTCTTCCCCTTTTGTCTCTGGGCTGCCCTGGCATGTCTCTCTCTCCCCCTCTCTTTCTGTCTCCAAACACAAACATACTCAGGAGGCCCCTATCCTAGACTAGACCCTTTCTATAAATCCACCGCCCAGTGTAAAAGCTGCAAGTGCTACATATTGTTCCCAGCCCCCCTGCAACTGGAGTGCAGTCATGAAACCTAAGCCCCGAATCAGGGTCCACTGGGGCCCAGAGCCCGGCCCAGGGGCTCTCTCTGGCTGAAATGCCAATTTCAAGGCTGAGCGCCGGGAGCAGCCATGACCAAGGTGCTTAGGGATGCGTGGCATTCAGGGCCAGTGGTCTCAGAAACAGTAGGTTTTCAACATATGGATCTGGGGGAACATAAACATTCAGGCCGTAGCAGGCCCTGGTTTCTCTGCCTTCCCTGACCAGCCCAAACAGCTGTTCCTCCCGCTCCCTCTCCCTCCCTCCTCTTTTCCTCCTCTGTCCCCTCAGTTTCTGGCACAGTGTCTCTGTCTGTCTCACCCCTTCCCCTCTTACCCCCCC